ACACACAGACACACAGACACACACACACAGACACACACAGAGTCACCCACACACAGACACACACAGAGTCACCCACACACAGACACACAGACACACACACACAGACACACACACAGAGTCACCCACACACAGACACACACACAGAGTCACCCACACACAGACACACAGACACACACACACAGCAACACACACAGAGTCACCCACACACAGACACACACAGAGTCACCCACACACAGACACACACACAGACACACACACAGACACACACAGAGTCACCCACACACAGACACACAGACACACACACACAGAAACACACAGAGTCACCCACACACAGACACACACAGAGTCACCCACACACAGACACACAGACACACACACACAGAAACACACACAGAGTCACCCACACACAGACACACAGACACACACACACAGAAACACACACAGACACACACACATAGACACACACACACATAGACACACACACATAGACACACACAGACACACAGACACACACACACAGAAACACACACAGAGTCACCCACACACAGATACACACAGAGTCACCCACACACAGACACACAGACACACACACACAGAAACACACAGAGTCACCCACACACAGACACACACAGACACACACACACAGAAACACACAGAGTCACCCACACACAGACACACACAGACACACACACACAGAAACACACACAGAGTCACCCACACACAGACACACAGACACACACACACAGAAACACACACAGAGTCACCCACACACAGACACACACAGAGTCACCCACACACAGACACACAGACACCCACACAGACACACACACAGAGTCACCCACACACAGACACACACAGAGTCACCCACACACAGACACACAGACACACACACACAGAAACACACAGAGTCACCCACACACAGACACACACAGAGTCACCCACACACAGACACACAGACACACACACACACATAGACACACACACAGACACACACAGAGTCACCCACACACAGACACACACACAGAGTCACCCACACACAGACACACAGACACACACACACAGAAACACACAGAGTCACCCACACACAGACACACACAGAGTCACCCACACACAGACACACAGACACACACACACAGAAACACACAGAGTCACCCACACACAGACACACACACAGACACACACACAGAAACACAGACACACACACACAGAAACACACACAGAGTCACCCACACACAGACACACACAGAGTCACCCACACACAGACACACAGACACACACACACAGAAACACACACAGAGTCACCCACACACAGACACACAGACACACACACACAGAAACACACAGAGTCACCCACACACAGACACACAGACACACACACACAGAAACACACACAGAGTCACCCACACACAGACACACAGACACACACACACAGAAACACACACAGAGTCACCCACACACAGACACACAGACACACACACACAGACACACACAGAGTCACCCACACACAGACACACAGACACACACACACAGAAACACACACAGAGTCACCCACACACAGACACACAGACACACACACACAGAAACACACAGAGTCACCCACACACAGACACACAGACACCCACACAGACACACACACAGAGTCACCCACACACAGACACACACAGAGTCACCCACACACAGACACACACAGAGTCACCCACACACAGACACACAGACACACACACACAGAAACACACACAGAGTCACCCACACACAGACACACACAGAGTCACCCACACACAGACACACAGACACACACACACAGACACACACACAGAGTCACCCACACACAGACACATAGACACACACACAGACACACACACATAGACACACACACATAGACACACAGACACACACACACAGAAACACACACAGAGTCACCCACGTGTAATAACCCGTTCCTAAAGCGGTCAGACCGCTTCTGAGTCTCTGTACAAACACACAGGTGCAGGCAAAGGTGCCCCGCGTAGCCTCTAGCAGGCTGTAGGGGCAAGTGCTGCTAGCGAGCAGCACCTGTGGAAGACAGCGCAGAGTTGCGCTAACCACTACACCCACCGCTCCCCCACACACTCACACCCATTGACCAGCACGGGGAAGTATATCCAAATGAAACCCCGTCATCATCGCCATCACAGCCGCCTCCCCCATCACCCACAGGGTCTATCCACTGCTGGATGGAGATCAGTGTGGTGGTAGTGGTGAAGATGGTGGTGATGGAGATGGTGGTGGTGGTGATGGAGATGGTGGTGGTGAAGATGGTGGTGGTGGTGAAGATGATGGTGGTGAAGATGGTGGTGGTGGTGGTGAAGATGATGGTGGTGGTGGTGGTGGAGATGATGGTGGTGGTGGTGGTGAAGATGATGGTGGTGGTGGTGGTGAAGATGGTGGTGGTGGTGGTGAAGATGGTGGTGGTGGTGGTGAAGATGGTGGTGGTGAAGATGGTGGTGGTGGTGGTGGTGGTGAAGATGGTGGTGGTGGTGGTGAAGATGGTGGTGGTGGTGGTGGTGGTGGTGAAGATGATGGTGGTGGTGGTGGTGAAGATGGTGGTGGTGGTGGTGAAGATGGTGGTGGTGGTGGTGAAGATGGTGGTGGTGAAGATGGTGGTGGTGGTGGTGGTGGTGGTGAAGATGGTGGTGGTGGTGGTGAAGATGGTGGTGGTGGTGGTGAAGATGGTGGTGGTGGTGGTGGTGAAGATGGTGGTGGTGGTGGTGAAGATGGTGGTGAAGATGGTGGTGGTGGTGAAGATGGTGGTGGTGGTGAAGATGGTGGTGGTGAAGATGGTGGTGAAGATGGTGGTGGTGGTGGTGAAGATGGTGGTGAAGATGGTGGTGGTGGTGGTGGTGAAGATGGTGGTGAAGATGATGGTGATGGTGGTGAAGATGGTAGTGAAGATGATGGTGATGGTGGTGAAGATGGTGGTGGTGGTGAAGATGGTGGTGAAGATGATGGTGATGGTGGTGAAAATGATGATGGTGGTGGTGTCTCTACCCTGCGTGACCTCTCTCTCTGTGTCTCTGTCTCTCTCTGTGTCTCTGTCTCTCTCTGTGTCTCTATCTCTCTGTCTCTCTCTGTGTCTCTGTCTCTTTCTCTCTGTCTCTGCCTCTCTCTGTCTCTCTGTCTCTCTCTGTCTCTGTCTCTCTCTGTGTCTCTGTCTCTTTCTCTCTGTCTCTGCCTCTCTCTCTCTGTCTTTGTCTCTCTCTCTGTGTCTCTCTCTCTGTCTCTCTCTGTGTCTCTCGCTCTGTGTCTCTGTCTCTCTCTGTCTCTCTCTGTCTGTCTCTCTCTGTGTATCTCGCTCTGTGTCTCTCTGTGTCTCTGTCTCTCTCTCTGTGTCTCTGTATCTCTCTGTGTCTATGTATCTCTCTGTGTCTCTGTATCTCTCTGTGTCTCTGTCTCTCCCTCTCTGTGTCTCTGTCTCTCTCTGTGTCTCTGTCTCTCTCTGTGTGTCTGTCTCTCTCTCTGTCTCTCTGTGTCTCTGTCTCTCTCTCTGTCTCTCTGTGTCTCTCTCTGTGTTTCTCTCTGTCTCTCTGCCTATCTCTCTGACTCTCTCTGTGTCTCTCTGTCTCCCGCTCTCTGATGTAATTAATTCCCATCCCTAACAAAGGACCCAGCCTCCGTTCCATTCTCACACCCCCACCCCGAATCTCTCCTTTCATCCCCTCCCCTCCCCCATCAACTCCCCCCATCACCTCCCCTCCCCCATCACTTCCCCATCACCCCCCATCATCCCCATCCCCCACATCATCTCTCCACCTTCCTTAATTATAAACCACCGGATCACATTATCCCCCTCGATCAACGCGCACACACCACACACACAGACAAAGCTACCCCCAGGTAGCCTCTAGCAGGGCTGTAGGGGCAAGTAGCAGTAGCAGTGTCTATGTACTACACACCCCACGCAAAGACAAAGCTACCCCAGGTAGCCTCTAGCAGGGCTGTAGGGGCAAGTGCTGTTAGCTAGCGAGTAGCAGCAGCAGTGTCTATGTACTACACACATCACACACACAGACAAAGCTGCCCCAGGTAGCCTCTAGCAGGGCTGTAGGGGCAAGTGCTGTTAGCTAGCGAGTAGCAGCAGCAGTGTCTATGTACTACACACACCACACACAGACAAAGCTCCCCCAGGTAGCCTCTAGCAGGGCTGTAGGGGCAAGTGCTGTTAGCTAACGAGTAGCAGCAGCAGTGTCTATGTACTACACACATCACACACACAGACAAAGCTGCCCCAGGTAGCCTCTAGCAGGGCTGTAGGCGCAAGTGCTGTTAGCTAGCGAGTAGCAGCAGCAGTGTCTATGTACTACACACACCACGCACAGACAAAGGTCCCCCAGGTAGCCTCTAGCAGGACTGTAGGGGCAAGTGCTGTTAGCTAGCGAGTAGCAGCAGCAGTGTCTATGTACTACACACACCACACACAGACAAAGCTACCCCAGGTAGCCTCTAGCAGGGCTGCAGGGGCAAGTGCTGTTAGTATTTCAGGTATTACTGGGTTTGTACCGGTGCAGGTATCACCCCCCCCCCACTCCCCTCACCTCATCCACCCCTCCCCCCTTAATTAGACAACAATAAAGACTTCCCATCCTGACCATCATCATCAAATCATTATCACCACCATCATCAAATCATCATCACCACCATCATCACTATCATCACCACCATCATCATCATCATCACCACCACCATAGTCACCACCTTCACCACCACCATCGTCGTCACATGATCATTACATCATCATCACCATCATCATCATCACCATCACCATCCCCCATCTTTCCTTAATTATAAACAACAACTCCCCATCCTCCCCATCATCACCATCATCACTACCACCATCACCTAATCTCCCCCTCCCAACAAACACACGCGCGGTGTTTGTTGCCCTTATATGGAAGTTTGCACCTCCGTCGGAAGTGACGTGGCGCCACGCCATTGGCCCACTCCCCCACCCGCTTCCACCTGCCCCGCGTTAGCCCCGCCCCAGGCACGGTGACGTCACCGTCGACCTATAAAAGGAGACAGCCGACGGGACGACAGCGTCAGAAGTCGCTGGTTCTCGACGAGAGTGGTGGGTGGAGTTTTATTATTATTAATTATTATTGCACGCGTTTTTTAACTATTATTATCATTATTACGCGCTTTTTAAAAATGTTCGCTGTTTATATTTATGCGCTTTTTTATTATTATGCACAACTTTATTATTACGCGATTTTTAAAATTATTATTATTACGCCCTTTTTAAATTTTTCGCTTTTAAAATTTTTAGCTTTTTAAATTTTTAGCTTTTTAAATTTTTAGCTTTTTAAATTTTTAGCTTTTTAAATTTTTAGCTTTTTATATTTTTAGCTTTTTATATTTTTAGCTTTTTATATTTTTAGCTTTTTATATTTTTCGCTTTTTATATTTTTCGCTTTTTATATTTTTCGCTTTTTATATTTTTCGCTTTTTATATTTTTCGCTTTTTATATTTTTCGCTTTTTATATTTTTTGTTATGTGCTTTTTTGTTATTATGCGCTTGTTTGTTATTATGCGCTTGTTATTATTATTACGAGCTTGTTATTATTATTGTTACACGCTTATGATTATGATTATTACTACACGCTCACTTTTATTTGACTGTCTGTTGTTGGTGCAGCCACAAATATTGTAACTCTCTATTTTTACATGCTTACCCATGTGGTATCGACTGCCAAGCCTCTTGTGTTTGCGTCGTACTGATGACAATCCTATTATCCTATCATTAATTAATAATGTGCGTTTGTAAACATTAATATATATTTTTTTTTTACATGTTAATTTTCGGCTTGGGGCGAATTGTCCACGATCCCTTACCTTAATGCCTCTACGCTTTTATTCGTAGTCTGTTACAAACAATGGTGTTTATTGAACCATAATGCAAAGTACTTGAATGTAATGTTTTTTTTTAACTTTTGGGTTTTTAGAACGCTTTTAATAAAAGCGTGTTTTAAAAAAAAGTTAACGTATGTAAGTTTCTGATGTAAAGCTTTTCGTCACTGCAGGGATTCATAGTTTTGGTTCCTTCGGTAAAGTCGCCACCACGTAGAAGGGGGAAACGATAAAATAATAATTGTTCTTGCTGTGGGTTTTCACACCTGATGATGATTGCTGCTGTTTCGTGTTGCAGTCGAAAACGTGAGAATTTTAACGTTTTAGATTTTTATTATTTTATTGTTTCCCTTCTACGTGGTGGTTTTCACACCTGATGATGATTTGCTGCTGTTTAGTGTTGCAGTCGAAAACGTCGTGAGAATCAAATATTATCATTAGAGTGTAGTTATTTTGGTTTGTGTGGCATTTTGACTGCAGGTTTTGTGGTTAATGCGGTAAACATGAATCCTTGTATAAAGGTTTCAGTTTTGTTGTCTAAAAAAAAGTGGGGGGAAAACCCTATTTATTATTATATTTTAACGAAGTTGTTAATGAACCGTGTTTTTAAACTTTTAAGGAGTTAATTTTTCAAAGTCGTGTGTGTTCGTTTTTGGGGTGGTGAGTGAGGGAGGGTGGGTGTGGTTCTTTCGGTGATGTGGATGGGTTCCAAAAAAAAGAAGACCGACGTTTCGATCGTAACGCAAGCGGTCTTCAATCGGGGGGGGTTGGGCGCTAAAAAAAAAAGAGGTCGCCTCGTCTCCGAGTGACTTTTAACGAAAGACCCAAATTTAGATGAAATGTCTCCAGTCACGAAAGCTTCAAGTGGACGTCATTGGACCACCTTTGCCAGTACCAAAATATAATAAATAGGGGGGTTTTCCCCCCCCCCCCCATTTCTGACTTGGGCCGATCGGTTTTTCAAGGACAAATGCGTATTATCAGAGTTTTTGTTTTGTTGTATTTTGACTGCAACAAGTTGCTGTGGTTAATGCAGACATGAATCCTCGTTTAAAAAAAAAATTCAGTTATGTTGCCAGATAAATAATATGGGGGGGAAAACCCCCGTATTATTTTAAGTCGACGTTTTTCGTGTTGGTTTTTTTCCCACATCGACGGAAGGCGTTTAGCCCCCGATTAGCCCCTTAGTTGTGTGAGCCAGCGTAGATCGATTTGTGGAAGCCGACTTGCCTCCAGCTGGGTATGGTATAGCGGCCCCGATGTGAAGTTGGGGACCCCCCCCCTCTCTCCGCGGTTTTTTTTGTGGAATTGTGTACGCGGTCGAAAAACTCTGAAAATGAAATGATCCGAAGCTCTTTTTTTATTGCTGGCTAAGGTGCCCATCGGGCTGTGCAGATTAACATTATTTAGACCTCCTCCTCCTTTGCCAGTACCAAAATGTAATCATAATAGGTTTAAAGCTTTCGTGACTGCAAGGATTCATCTTCTTTTGGTTCTTTCGGTAAAGTCGCATTCTACGTGACTTTACCGAAAGAACCAAAGAAGGTGAATCATAATAGGGCTTTTTCCCCTTTATTTATTTTTTCTGGCAGCAAAACTGTGAAACCCTTTTTTTTACACAAGGATTCACGTTTTTACTGCCTTAACCACAACACCCCGCAGCCTTTTTGGCGTCGTCTGGTTAATCGAGCACCGATTGGGTCGAGGCTCAAAAGAAAAGCCGTCTCTTGGCGTGGACCAATCGGTTTCAAGGGCAATTGCCACCATCATATTATCGCAGTGTATGTGTATGTGTGTGTTTTTCTTGTTGTTTGCATTTTGACTGCAGGTATTGCGGTTCACGTAGTAAACGTGAATCCTCGTGGAAAAAAAAAGTTTCGGTTTTGTTGCCGGGAAAAACCCCCCCTATTATTATTACTACTACGTAGATTATTATTATTATTACTACGTAGATTCCTTTACCAGAAGCGACCTTGGCGATGGCAAATGGGTGGCGGCTTCGTGAAGCCGCTACGATTTGGTGTAGGGTAGGAATGTACGGCAGTCGCTTTAAGCTCTTAAGCAAATGATCGCTTATTTTACCCGTTGAGGGGGGGGGCGTGGGGGGGTCCCCCCACCATGTCGTCTAGATTAAGTTCCAGAGTCGACCTTGACTAACGGGTAAATGCTAGAGGCTCGAACCCGGAATTGGCTTTGCCCGTGGCTTAGGAATGTTGTGTAGCAGGCGATTACGCTTAATCATCTGAACTCTTTCGATTTGAAGCTTTCGTGACCGCAAGGATTCATCTCCTTTGGTTCTTTCGGTGAAGTCACCACCACCACCACGTAGAATGAGAATAATAAAATAATAAATTGATAAAATACAATAACGCAATAATGTTCTCACGACGTTTCGGCCACAACGCAAGCGGCCTTCATCAGGTGAAGGAACAGAACTGTCGGGACGACAGTTCTCAGTTCTCCAGACAGTCTCGTCCCTGTCTGGAGGACAGTCTCGTCCCTTCACCTGATGAAGGCCGCTTGTGTTGTGGCCGAAACGTCGTGAGAATTGTATTGTGTTATTTTATTTTATCTATTAATTATTTTATTCTCATTCTACGTGGTGGTGACTTTACCGAAAGAACCAAAGAGAACATCTTAACTTTATGAACGTCTAAGACTTTTTTATGTTTTATCAGCTTAAGGGACCGTCCATAAATGACGTCACGCACCTGGGGGTGGGGGGGAGGGGTTTGAGAAATGTGACGTCACGTGAAAATTGCGCAATTTTACATAAATATGGACGACACGTTCTACTTAATTAAATAGTTTTTTTATATATATAAATGTTTTCTACAACATCGGAGTGCATCGCCACGTTAATTACCCGCTGCAATGGCAATAGTTTAAAGGGATTTTCAAGCGTGTTCTTGGTTCGTTCGGTAAAGTCACCACCACGTAGAATGGAAACAATAAAATAATATAAAAAAATATAAAACAATAAAATTCTCACGACGTTTCGACTGCAACGCCAAGCAGCAATCATCATCAGGTGTGAAAACCACCACGTAGATAGGGAAACAATAAAATAATAAAAATATAAAACGATAAAATTCTCACGACGTTTCGACTGCAACACAAAGCGGCAATCATCATCAGGTGTGAAAACCACCACGTAGAAGGGAAACAATAAAATAATAAAAATATAAAAACAGTAAAATTCTCAACGCCGTTTCGACTGAAACACAAAGCGGCAATCATCATCAGACGTTGCAGTCGAAGCGTCTTTGAGAATTTTACTGTTTTTACATTTTTATTTTTTCATTGTTTCCCTTCTACGTGGTGGTGACTTTACCGAAAGAACTAAGATTATGAAATCTTTAAATCGATTTGAAGCATGTTTAATATTTATTTTTTTTTGGGGGGGGGCAGAGCTTTGACGTCACATTTGTGGGGGGAGGGGGTGGGAGGGGGGTAAAAAATCGTCCAAAATCGCGTGATGGCATTCATGGACGGCCCCTTAAGGTGTCCATCGAACTATGTAGGCTACGCCACAGAAGCCACCCTTGCCTACAGCGCACGATGGCGGCTCGAACGAGAATTGGCTTGCCTCTGTGGCCGAGGAATGTACGGCAGTCGAATGAATGCATCTTAAGCGGTCTCTTTTGTGTCTCTGTGGGTCTCTTTGTGTCTGTGTCTCTCTCTGTGGGTCTCTATGGGTCTCTGTGGGTGTCTATGGGTCTCTCTGTCTCTATGACATCAGCCCACGTGTTGTGATGGCCAGGCTGTACCGTTCGTCTCGACAAAGATCCACACAGCGGCAGCTTAGTGGGGACCTTACACAGCTGGTGACATAAACAGAGTTTAGTCTGTGGGTCTATGCATCTGTGTGGGTCTCTGTGTGGGTCTCTGGGTCTCTGTGTGTCTGTGTATCTGTGTGGGTCTCTGTGTATCTGTGTGGGTGTCTGTGTATCTGTGTGGGTCTCTGTGTCTGTGTGGGTCTCTGTGTGTCTGTGTGGGTCTCTGTGTGTCTGTGTGGGTCTCTGTATCTGTGTGGGTCTGTGTGGGTCTCTATCTCTGTGGGTGTCTATGGGTCTGTCTCTATGACATCAGCCCACGTGGTGGAGCTGCTATCGTGTTGTGATGGACAGGCTGTACCGTTCGTCTAAACAAAGGTCCACGCAGCAGCAGCTTAATGGGGCTCGAACGAGAATTGGCTTGCCTGTGGCGGAGGAATGTACGGCGGTTGAATGAATACAATCTTCAGCGATTTTATTTTTTTAAACAAAAATATTTGACCAGCTAAGGTGTCCGCTGAGCCTATGTAGATTCCAGTTGTGGAATCGAGCCCCCTTGCCTTACGGCAAATGATGGCAGCTTCGTGAAGTTGCCCGCTGCTTTGGGGTGGTGTAGGAATGTGGTACAGCGGTCGGTCGATTTAAGCTCCTTTTCAAAAAAATAAAGAAATCGCCTATTCTTTGACCAGGCAATGTCGCGACTTGCGTTCTCTGGATTGCTCTACGGAAGCGAAACTTGCCCCTACAGCGTCTCTGCTTGGCATTCCCGAACGAGAATTGGCTCGCGTGTGGCCTGCGAATGTCCCAAATTAAGCGACCTGAACACGCCTAGGAAAAACCCCTGGAATTGTGTAAACATTTTTCGCTTATTTTCGGTGACGTTACCGTAGGTGGGGAAATAGAAAGAGTACAATCTGTATTTTTTTTTTATTTCTCCGTGACTTTAAAGAACCCAAGACATATTCTTGGTTCTTTCGGTAAAGTCGCCACGTAGAAGGGAAACAATAAAATGATGATATATATAAAAACGTAAAAATTCTCACGTCGTTTAGACTGCAACACACAGTCATCAGGTGTGAAAACCAACGGCAAGAAACTAAATCCGAACGGCTGTCAATCCCATCACGGTTGAACTCTGCAGGGAAATTGAGTTCAGGTCCATACTGCGTTGTAGGATGAAGGGTGGTGGTGGTGGGGGGGGGGGGTGAAGGGTGAGATCTTTAAGGGGCACGGGGTGACCAGCAAAGGTCTAAATTGGTCTGTAATAAGGTAGGGCGCTGATAAGGGGTTGACAGTGGTGTTAAAATCTCCACGTGGTGGTGATATCAGCCCACGTGGTGGCGGCTGCTATCGTGTTGTGATGGCCAGGCTCTACCGTTCGTCTCAAAGATCCACACAGCATCAGCTTAGTTGGGGACCTTACACAGCTGGTGACATAAACAGAGTTTAGTCTGTTGGTCTCCATGTATCTTTGTGTATCTCTGTGGGTCTCTACGTATCTCTATGGGTCTCTATGTATCTCTAGGAGTCTCTATGGGTCTCTATGTATCTCTGTGGGTCTCTATGTATCTCTGTGGGTCTCATGTATCTCTGTGGGTCTCTATGTATCTCTGTGGGTCTCTGTGTATCTCTGTGGGTCTCTGTGGGTCTTTGTTGGTATCCGTGTATATCTGGGTCTGTGGGTATCTGTGTGGGCCTGTCTCTGTGGGTCTCTATGAGTCTCTGTGGGTCTCTATGAGTGGGTCTGTGGGTGTCTATGGGTCTCTGTCTCAATGACATCAGCCCACGTGGTGGAGCCACTATCTTGTTGTGCTGGCCAGGCTGCACCACAACAAAACGAGCTAACACAGAAGCTTCAGTGGGGACCTTCCAGCTGGTAACGTAAGCAGATGATTTTCGATGACTAATGTGTGCTCCTACCGCTAAAAGTGTCGGTGTGGCTTTATTAAAAACGGATTTTCTCCCTCCCCTCCCTCTCTCTCCTCTCCCGAAATTCGCAGATACGCCTCCAAAAACCCCATCCTCGTCCTCCTGACGCTTGGCCTTTGACGAGGAGAACTTCTATACCAAGGGGCGCGTGCAAGGCTTTTTGCGCGTTTTGGCAGTTCCATAATTCTCCTCGAATCCCAACATCGTCCGAATCATCTCGAATCCGTCAGGCCCGAAATCCGTTCTCCAAATCCATCTTCCAAATCCTCCCCCACCCCGACCTCAATTCTCTCCGGCCATCTCCTCCCCCAAGCTCCACTCTCTCTCCTTCCGCTCCACGTCCCCCCGCCCGTCCATCGTCTTCCACACTCCCGTTTTTTTTCCCGCCCGCCAAGCGCGCGCTCCGCAACTCCACAGTGCCATGGCGAGCACGGGCATGCAGCTGCTGGGCCTGGCGCTGTGCATCGTGGGCTGGCTGGGCGCCATCGTGACGTGCGCCCTGCCCATGTGGAAGGTGTCCGCGTTCATCGGCAACAACATCGTGGTGGCTCAGATTGTCTGGGAGGGCATCTGGATGAACTGCGTGGTGCAGAGCACGGGCCAGATGCAGTGCAAGATGTACGACTCGATGCTGGCCCTGGGCCAGGACCTGCAGGTGAGGAGGCGGTGGCGGTGGTGGTGGTGATGGAGGAGACATGGGTTTGAGACACACACGGGTTTGAGAGACAGAGACGCACACACGGGTTTGAGAGAGACAGAGACACACACACACGGCTTTGAGAGAGACACAGACACACACACACGGCTTTGAGAGAGACACAGACACACACACACGGCTTTCAGACACACACACACACGGCTTTGAGACACACACACACACGGCTTTGAGACACACACACACACGGCTTTGAGACACACACACACACGGCTTTGAGACACACACACACGGCTTTGAGACACACACACACGGCTTTGAGACACACACACACACGGCTTTGAGACAGAGACACAGACACACACACACGGCTTTGAGACACAGACACACACACGGCTTTGAGACAGACACACACACACGGCTTTGAGAGAGAGACAGACACACTCACAGGTTGGTGGGCTGAGCTGTTTTGCGAGCTGTTATAAGTCGAGTTTGTACCGCTCTGCCCGACACGGTGACCACCTCGCCTGCTACGCAGGACCAAGGCGAGTTCGATCCGGTTCTTGTTGTAGTCTTTATTTTAAAACTCTGGGAAGTTTCAGTTCTGTGTGGGGGGGTTTTTTTGTGTTTGCTAATGTGCGGTAAACATCACCACCAGTTCAAGTGCGAGGGGGGTGTCCGTGCAGGGCAACCCTGCCCTTCATAGTTCCTGCCAACAGCACTTGCCCCTGCATACCTGCTAGAGGCTACCTGGGGTAGCTTTGTCTGTGTGTGTGTGTGGTGTGTGTGTAGTACATAGACACTGCTGCTGCTACTCGCTAACTAACAGCACTTGCCCCTACAGCCCTGCTAGAGGCTACCTGGGGTAGCTTTGTCTGTGTGGTGTGTGTAGTACATAGACACTGCTGCTGCTACTCGCTAGCCCTGCTAGAGGCTACCTGGGGGAGCTTTGTGTGGTGTGTGTAGTACAGAGACACTGCTGCTGCTACTCGCTACTAACAGCACTTGCCCCTACAGCCCTGCTAGAGGCTACCTGGGGGACCTTTGTCTGTGTGTTGTGTGTGTAGTACATAGACACTGCTGCTGCTACTCGCTACTAACAGCACTTGCCCCTACAGCCCTGCTAGAGGCTACCTGGGGGCGTGGTGGTCTTTGTCTTTGTGCGTCGAGCGGTGAGTGGGGGGGGACCCAGTCACCGTGGCGACCCCTCTGGTGGTGGGTGGTGGGGGGGTGGTGGTGGTGATGGTGGTGGGTGGGGGTGGTGGGGGTGGTGGTGGTGGTGGTGGTGGGGGTGATGGTGGTGGTGGGGGTGATGGTGGTGGTGGGGGTGATGGTGGTGGTGGTGGGGGTGATGGTGGTGGTGGTGGGGGTGATGGTGGTGGTGGGGGTGATGGTGGTGGTGGGGGTGATGGTGGTGGTGGGGGTGATGGTGGTGGTGGGGGTGATGGTGGTGGTGGGGGTGATGGTGGTGGTGGGGGTGGGGGGGGGGGGTGATGTGATGGTGGTAGGGGTGATGGTGGTGGTGGTGATGGTGGGGGGTGGTGATGGTGATGGTGGGGGTGGTGGTGGGGGGGGGGGGTGATGGTGGGTGATGGTGGTGATGGTGGGTGATGGTGGTGGGTGATGGTGGTGGTGATGTGCGCGTCTTTGTTTATTGAAGAGGAATCTCTGCCCCCTCCCCTTCTCGACTTGTGGCTGGCTGGTTGGGCTCGTGGATGGCTGGCCTAGTGGCTGGCCTAGTGGCTGGCCTAGTGGCTGGCCTAGTGGCTGGCCTAGTGGCTGGCCTAGTGGCTGGCCTAGTGGCTGGCCTAGTGGCTGGCCTAGTGGCTGGCCTAGTGGCTGGTGGCTGGTTGGGCTGGTAGCTGGCGGGTGGCTGCCCTTGTGAGAGACACAGACACAACAGGGTCCAGGGATCGAACCCACGACCTCCTGTATACCAGGCGAGGTAGTCAACATCTCCCTTGAGAGAGAGAGACGCAGACACAACAGGGTCCAGGGATCGAACCCACGACCTCCTCTACACCAGGCGAGGTAGTCAACATCTCCCTTGAGAGAGAGACGCAGACACAACAGGGTCCAGGGATCGAACCCACGACCTCCTGTATACCAGGCGAGGTAGTCAACATCTCCCTTCAGAGATATGCAGACACAACAGGGTCCAGGGATCGAACCCACGACCTCCTGTATACCAGGCGAGGTAGTCAACATCTCCCTTGAGAGAGAGACGCAGACACAACAGGGTCCAGGGATCGAACCCACGACCTCCTGTATACCAGGCGAGGTAGTCAACATCTCCCTTGAGAGAGAGATATGCAGACACAACAGGGTCCAGGGATCGAACCCACGACCTCCTGTACACCAGGCGAGGTAGTCAACATCTCCCTTGAGAGAGACGCAGACACAACAGGGTCCAGGGATCGAACCCACGACCTCCTGTATACCAGGCGAGGTAGTCAACATCTCCCTTGAGAGTGAGACGCAGACACAACAGGGTCCAGGGATCGAACCCACGACCTCCTGTACACCAGGCGAGGTAGTCAACATCTCCCTTGTGAGAGAGATGCAGACGCAACAGGGTCCAGGGCTTGAACCCACGACCTCCTGTAGACCAGGCGAGGTAGTCAACATCTCCCTTGAGAGAGAGATATGCAGACACAACAGGGTCCAGGGATCGAACCCACGACCTCCTGTATACCAGGCGAGGTAGTCAACATCTCCCTTGTGAGAGATGCAGACACAACAGGGTCCAGGGCTTGAACCCACGACCTCCTGTATACCAGGCGAGGTAGTCAACATCTCTCTTGAGAGAGAGATATGCAGACACAACAGGGTCCAGGGATCGAACCCACGACCTCCTGTATACCAGGCGAGGTAGTCAACATCTCCCCCCCCCCTCTCCCCCCACTGCTCATGCGTGCTCGACCGCACAGCACCGGCCTACACACAGTGGGGACGCGATAAACCGGTTTGTAGAGATACCGGAGAGAGAGAGACGCCTTCTAACACAAATACAGCGACGATGGGTCACGTCAGCTGGGCCCCACGGGGAAGGCGATCTCCCAGCCACAGCACGGAGTGGTCACGGAAACCTATGGGCCCCCCCCACTCCCGTTAAAACCCTAGGGCCCCCCCCCCCGATTTATGTAGGAGCGAGATGAACTCGCTTCGAGTGCCGATGGTCACTGGGAGATGGCAAAACGCCTCGCTCACTCCTCCTGCAGAGAGTGCCACGGGTGCTAGGGAGATGTTGACTACCTCTCCTGGTATACAGGAGGTCGTGGGTTCGATCCCTGGACCCTATTGTGTCTGCTTCTCTCCATCTCTCACAAGGGAGATGTTGACTACCTCGCCTGGTATACAGCAGGTCGTGGGTTCGATCCCCTGGACCCTGTTGTCTGCATCTCTCTCACAAGGGAGATGTTGACTACCTCGCCTGGTGTACAGGAGGTCGTGGGTTTGCTCCCACCGCAACCCCCACCACCACCTCCCGTATTCCTGAGGCTCCACGTGGCACCCAGGAACGTGGTGATTTGGTGGTGATGTTGGTGACCTGAGACGTCGCTATCGCCACGGACGGGGGGGGGAGAGACAAAGGCGGCCGGGCGTGGTGTTGGAGGAGTGTGTATGTGTGTTTAGCTGTGTCTGAGAGTGTGGGTAGCGGTAGTGTAGCGGTTAGCGCTACGCTGCGCTACGAACCTGGCGACCCCGGGTTCGATTCCCGCTCGCGGGCCAACACCACCAGTGACGATTATCTGAACCGGTCCCGGGCCTCCCCTAGGTCGACTCGGCCTCAAATGAGTACCACCTGGTGCTGTGTGTAGTAAACATCGCCACTGGGGAGACAAAGGCGGTCAAGGCGTGGTTGCTGGCCACCCACCCCCCTCGTGTACCCTTCCGGCCTTCATAGGGTGCTGCTAGCTAACAGCACTTGCCCCTACAGCCTGTTTAAGGCTATACGGGGGATCTTTGTCTTTGTAGTGGGGTGTGGCGTGCTATTTTAATGGTGAGTGTCTCTGTGTGCATGGTGTAGTGGATGGTGTCTCTATAGTGATCTAGCCTAGTGCTTTTTTCAAATTGTTCTTGCTGTGGTTTTCGCACCTGATGATGATTGCTGCTGGGTGTTGCAGTCGAAAACGTCGTGAGAATTTTAAAGTTTTATATTTTTGTTATTTTGTTTCCCTTCTACGCGGTGGTGACCTTTTTACCGAAAGAACCAAATAATATAAATCCCTGCAGTCACGAAAGCTTTAAATCCAAATTTAGCCCAGTGCTGTTGTAGTGCTGTTACAGGTAATGTAAAGTGTGTGTGTGTGTGTAGCGTTGTGGGTGTGTGTGGTAGTGTTCTAGCAGTGTGGGAACCCCTCCCTGGTTGACGATTTGACTCCCACCATCATCAATGTGTGTGTGTGGGAGTGTTCCGTCAAGTGCCCGGCCCGTACAAACGCACAACTCTCCTTTACCTTTGCGTTTGACTCCGAGCTACCTAGGGCACCTTTGGCTGTGCCACGTGCGGTTTTTTTTTTCCATTCCCGAGTCCGGCCGTGCCCTGCTCCCGCCTCGTCAGCCTTGTTTATTTGAAAGAATTTAATCTCTCTCTCTCTCCCTCGGCTCCAAAACGCTGGCGCCTCTGTCTGCATCTTATCACGGTGGCTAAGGAGATGTTGACTACCTCGCCTGGTCTACAGGAGGTCTGTCTCTCTCTCATCATCATGGCTAGGGAGATTTGACTACCTCGCCTGGTGTACAGGAGGTCGTGGGTTCAATCCCTGGACCCTGTTGTGTCTGCGTCTCTCTCTCTCACAAGGGAGATGTTGACTACCTCGCCTGGTATACAGGAGGTCGTGGGTTCGATCCCTGATGCCTTCTGCTGTCTGCGTCTCTCCAAGGGAGATGTTGACTACTTCGCCTGGTCTACAGGAGGTCGTGACTTCTATCCCTGACAATGTCTGCGTCTCTCTCTCTCTCCCCGTGGTGCTCGCTCCGTGAATTTCATCTCTGAA